GCTGGTTCTGCTTCAAGTTCATCGAGGTCATCCATTTTGGTTGTGTGTTGTTTTCCAGCTCTTCTTCTAATGCATGTTAGTGGTGCTTAGAAAAGAGCTTAATGTAGCACTACCGCCACCAGCTGGTAAGGTGCGTTGATATTAATAATCCGCCCACTAGAGGTGAACAATCCGCCCACTAGAGGTGAACAATCCGCCCACTAAACGGGAACTATAGGCAAAGGTGAGACACAAAAATAGAGGTCCCACTAGAACCGGACACAACAGGCTACAACAAGAACCAGACCTGTGGATAAGGGGCTTATGAGAACACCACCTGATTTGCCTCGTTTACTTCTGCTACTGATTGATCTGAGACACAACTAAAACATTGTAACATTCTGTGGCTTGTAAACTACTCTGTGACCTTAATTTCAACTCTATTTGCCTCATGGGTCATTTTGACCCGAAGACCACCTTGTACCTTTTTTTGTACAGCTTACATGGAAATGTGAATAAAAGCAACATTTCACTTTTTCTACTGTTGGGGCCAATCTAGGAAAAGTCATAAAATTTCAAGTAAAAAAAAAAACCATTTAGTGGATTTTTTTTTTGGGGGGGGGGGGGGTTTAACACAGTGGTGGGTCATTTTGTCCTGAGGACAACAGGAGGGTTAAGCCAAACAGGAAGTTTTTATTTTTATTTTTATTTTTTACTGTATTAACAGCATAAAACCGAACAACAGAACTATATACAGTACACACACAACAGAGATATCTGTGTACTGTATATTCTGAAAAAGTTGTCAAGTCCTTTTGGATGTTCAAAAAACAACAACAACAACAACAACAACAAATAAATAATATCGTAGAAACGTTTCATCTTTCATCCAAAAGTCTTCTTGAGTCTGACGAGCTGTATTCAGCTCAGTTTTATAAGGCCCTATTTACACGGACACGATGGGGGGGCGGGGGACGTAGGTTTTTTAGTATGTTAATCAGAGGAAAAGATTTGCGTTGACACGGTCGCATTTTGGGTTTACATGCATCCGGAGGATTCCCCCCCCCCGCCCTCCCGAATCCGCTGTAGTTACCATGCCAGGCCATTAGATGGCACTGTGAATTTTGTACCTTCACCTAATGCGCATGTGTGCTGTCTCGGCACGTTGTTTTCCTCTCGGCTAATCAAGCTAACAACAACGTAACGACAAGTTAAAGGTGGATTTTGGATGAGAGTCAACAGATTTGACGCCAAGCGGGACCGCTTCGTCTAACAGCTCCACACCAGTCGCTGAGTGGACCAGAACAGAGTCAACTATGTCAGACTTTACTCCGGGATAATCAGTAGCTGCTTTACAGCAGGTAAATCAAATGTTCTTGATAATGTTAGCTTGTGTTTACTTTGGTTACAAAACAACCAACTGAGTTTTTATTTTTTCCTGAAAGAAGAAGAAGCTGTCCTTCCACCAGGCGGACCAGTTCTGAACGAGGCTTGGCCCAGATGAACTGCAGGAGTACGTCGAAGAGAGATGTTGATGAACGATTTGTTCAAAATTCCCCTCAGTTCTTTTATTCATTCCATTCAAGTTCAGTTAACGTGTTTTAATAGTGTGTTTGTGTGACATACAGTCTGTGGTGTTGAATAAATAAATAAAAATTAAACCTGATGTCTTCATTTTCAACTTTAGTGTTCACGCTATAGGCAGCACGGTGGCGCAACTGGTAGAGCTGCTGCCTCTCAGCGAGCAGGTCCTTGGTTCAAACCCCGGTCCAGGGGCCTTTCTGGGTGGAGTTTGCATGTTCTCTCTGTGCATGCATGGGTTTTCTCCGGGTGCTCCGGTTTCCTCCCACAGACCAAAAAACATGCATGTTAGGCTGATTGGTAACTCTAAATTGTCTCTAGGTGTGAGTGAGAGAATGAATGGTTGTTTGTCTCGTTTGTCTCTATGTGTCCCTGTGATGGGCTTGTGACCCGTCCAGGGTGTACCCCGCCCCTCGCACAGTGATTGCTGGACATGGGCACCAGCGACCCCCGTGACCCAAAATGGAATAAGCGGGTAAAGATAACGGATGGATGGATGTTCACGCTATATGTTTAGCATAATTTTAAATTTGAATTACATAATGTCCAGATAGCTTCATTTAGCTCAGAGCTTCATTATATTTCACACTAACATAAATACTGTTTATTATTATTAAACTGTTATTATTTAGCACATTTAGATGTTATAGTGCAGCGCGACGTGTGCGTGCCTCGTTCTATAAACGGCGACACTGGAACTGGATCAGATTGTGTCTCTTCAAACACAGATGTCTGTGTTAAAGACGGGAGCTGGCTGCGGACCACCGGATCCAGAAACCCCCCTCCAGCCCACGTCTTTACCCCCGGCTCGTACCTCCCTCGGAAGTGGCAACTATACTAATCAATAAATCAAGGAAACGTCAATTAAGTTTTACCAATTATATTAGAAAAGGCAGGAAAAGATTACAATTTCACAGCGCTGGACTCTACAGTTTGTGACACGTTCACAGACCAGGAAGAAGAGCCCCGATGTCTCATCTCATTACTCCTTTATAGGGTCATAGACTCCGCCTTTCGCAGAAGGGGAGCTCAGCCTATCAGTGTATGAGGGGGCGTGGCTAAGTGTGGTCTTATGTGGACTGACGTGTTAGGAAATATGAGACGGTGCTTCAAAGCCTTTCTACGTGATGTGGCAAGCAGATTAAACTATTTGACTGATATTGAAATCCCAGGGAGACTCTTGAGAGCTGCTGGCCCAGTTTAACCCAGTCAGAACCGGGTCATAATTTCATTATAATCCCGTCTCTGAGCAGATCAAAACCATAAGACCAGTCTAGATTAAAAATATTTTAACATCGGTCACAGCACCTTGAATCTGACGTAGATTAACTACGAGATTAAAAATATATTCCATCAGTCGTAGTTCAGAAAGCAGTGTATCCGCCACCATGTTGATAGAAATATAACGTCTGTCCGCGCGTGCGTATGTTGTTTAACACAAAGCCTCATCGGAAGATGTTTACATTATCAGCAGGGTGTCAGCGAAAAACCTCCACTTTGGAAGGTGGGTTCAGAAGCCTCCGGATTTGGGGGGGGGGGGGGCACTGGTGTCGTGTAAATGATCAGCAGAACCGCAGAGAGAAAGCTGCGGATGCACTCAAAATGCGCGCCGTGTAAACGGCCCCTCAATAGCACCTTCTCATAGTGGATCAACCTGTTTGTTGTTGACATTCAAAACTAGTTGTTCACATGATCAAGGAGGACCATCAGCCTAACAATGAATCGTTAGCACCCTGATGGCTGCTTGCTATTCACAGGGGGCTGAGTGATACTAACAATAACAGCATTGTAAGAGGGGGACAGTTGAACACGGAGACCTCCAGAGGACCTGACTTAACTTTTTTTAGATTTTTCTACCTGGATTATTGAGCATGCATCAGGATGTACTGTATATTGTTCTTTTGTTTGGTTTTATGCTGTTAATAATGTAAAAAAAAAAACCTTCCTATTCGGCTTCATGTAATTCTGTTTTTTCAAATGTAATTTTGTTTTTTTCTAATGTTGTTCATTTACACCGTAGTTCTTGCCAGGAACTTAACAGATGTTTAAAGCCACTTAGAGAGGTCAAGGTCGAGAGCTTCAGATCATTTAAAAATAGCAACACTTTTACATTTAGTGATTATGACAATTTTACTACATACTTTTGAATTTTAAATCGAAAGACAAAAGTCGATCGGTGCATCTGGACACCAAAGGGTTAAAGCTGCTGCAACAATGGACATTTTTAAGATTTAAACTTTAGCTAGAGAAATTACATGTGAAAATGCAATATGAATGCTTATTGCTGAAGAACTTGCTGAAATGTAGCTGAAATGGAAGAACAAGCCTAAGTTAGCCGAAGAAGCAGAAGGAACACACATTTACTGAATTTGGTTTAAATAAGCAGAAATGAGCAGAAAAAGTAGTAAATTAGCTAAAGAACAGCTGAAATTAGCAAGAAATAACTGAAAAGTAGCTGCAACGGCAGAAAGAAGCCTAAATTACCTGAAGAAAGTAAACAATCCATGCTGCTCATCCAACAGTCAGCCAATTGTGTGGCATGTCCAATCTTACTTTGAAAAAACGCGAAAGAGCGAGTCTGCTAAAGTTGAACCGCAAAAGTAGCGAGAGACTACTGTAGGTTTTTTTTTTTTTGGTGTTGTTGTTTTTGTTTTTTGGTTGGTAATAATATAAATTGTAGTTCTTTTTAAATAGTTCAACAACTCCAACACTGGGCTGTTCACTGTCCACACTGGGAAAGATGACATCACAAAAGTCCACAAAGTTGACTCCTGGAACGGCCTGAGAGAGGTGAAATGTTCATAAGATATTTTTGTTTTTTATAATCGTCTGTTTTTCCAGACCTGACTGTTGTCTTGCTGCTAACAGCTGAACTACTGGAGGACTCCTCAGTGTAACATGATCAATGGAACAGCTGGGCAGATGTGGCCTCCATTCATGACCAAAGAGAGCACCCTGCCCTTCTACAGTCCTGATGTTTGCCGGTATTTTTTCCCTCCAAATTTCTTCTTTTTTTTTTTCCGACAGATTAATAATGTTTTAAATGTTGTATTAAAAAGGTCTATGGAACTTGTTTACAAGCAATCTGGCAACATGAAAGGGATCCCTTCATATCGATTTGTTGCTCCCAAGACCCTGTTTGCTAATGGGACTGATTACACTCCCAATGAAGGCTTTTGTCCCTGCAGGCAGTCCGGCCTGCTCAACGTCAGCACCTGTCGCCACAGTCAGTACTGCAATACTACACTGTTTACTTACTGTACTTAATTTGATGTTCTTGATGTTTGTCTGGACAGTTTAAATTAATATGTATTGGCTGAAATTCCCTACAGCCATGAACATAGTACATTTGCTTAGCTTTTTTGGCTTTCTTAAATTATGACAAGACAGTGTGCTCTCTTAAGTAATAATAACTTTTATCCTTTAGGCTATTCACATTGAGATTACCAAGCATAGATAAGAGAAAACTGTTTTCATGTTCTTTGTTTCTGTTTATTTGGAAAGTTCTCTGCATTCTAATTACTTATGCAATTTGTTTTGACCTAACGCAGCATGCCAGTTGAAACTAACGAGTTTTCATACTTTGTTGTCCAAATAGCTGCAGAGTAGCCGGCCTAAATGACGAGCGTGACAAGTTAAAAGAACTTTGTGGTTATGCTGAAAAAAATTCTCCATTGCTTTGTTCATTTAGACTCCCCGACCTTCATCTCTCATCCTCACTTCTTTAATGGTGATCCTGTGCTGCAAGACTTTGTGTTGGGCCTTCATCCCAATGAGGAGGAACATGGCCTTTTTATAGACATCCACCCAGTAAGTGTGCACACACTTACTCACACTCAGTCAGCCCTTCACCACCGTGCTTGATAATTTGTCAAACATGGTGGGTTGGAAGATTCTTAATCCTGCAACATTTCCAAACAAGCCATACTTGTTTAGTGTTTTTCCTGTTTGTCATTTTATGAACTTTATCATTTAACCTTCTTCCTGAGGCCTGTAGAGTCTGAAATGTTGTTCTTGGGTTTCTTCCAGTTTCTGGGTATTGCACGGTCTGAGCTCGGGATGAATTTACTGGGAAATTTGCTTGAGAAACAATAATCCTTGGCACTGTGTTGATGCACACCTTGCATGCTCCAGACCAGCAAACTGCCTAAACTCCTGCTTTTATTGTGCTGGTCACACTTTTGATGATTATTTATTCTATTATATTTGATTAGCAGCACCTGGATGCTACTTTCAGTTGATTCTTCTCCTCTGTTGACCAAAATATCATAAAATCAAATTGGATAATGCAACAGAACAATGACCCCAAACGCAGCTGTAAAATCTACAACAGAATGGCTGGCTGAAAATGAAAATTATGATATTGCAATGATCCAGTCAAAGTCCAGACCTCAACCTACCATACTTGCCGCTGTACACATTGCACCACCGTATAAGTTGCAGCAGTCCAAATATGTCTAATAAAGTGGGAAAAAAACATAAATAATGTAGCGATCTAGTGCTGTATGAATGGGTAAATGAGGGCACAGATTGTAGTGTAAAGCACTTTAAGTATCTCTAAGATAGAAATGCGCTATATAAGTACAGTTCATTTTTCATTTACCATAAATAAGTCACTTCACCATATAAGTCGCATCTATTATGCGTCACCGCTGACGTCCTGGAAACATGGGCCGGTGTGCCAAAAATCAATTGGCTGCCAAAGGGCGGCCACGGGAGCATGCACGGGAGGATTTTAACAAGAATTTAACAAGATTAACACTTAAAAACAATTATTTGTTTGTCCTGATGCATGCTCAATAATCCAGGTAGAAAAATCCAAAAAAGTTCAATCTGGTCCTATAATGATGAGGGACTTTTAAACCCCCAAATACATTACGGCAAAGACTGGTTCATCTCAAAGATCCAGTCCCCCGGCACAAACAGAGTAATATTGTGTATGCTGTTCAGTGTCAGGAGGGCTGTGATCAGTCTTACATCGGGGAAACTAAACAGCCACTGGCCAAAAGGATGGCCCAGCACAGAAGATCAACATCATCAGGCCAGGATTCTGCGGTCTACACTCATCTCCAGGCCAGCGGTCACTCTTTCAGGGATGAAGATGTTCACATCCTGGACAGAGAGGAACGATGGTTTGAGAGAGGAGTAAAGGAGGCCATCTTTGTGAAAAGAAATCATCCATCATTAAACAGGGGTGGAGGCCTCTGGGTTCAACTGCCCCCCTCTTACAATGCTGTTATTGCTAGTATCACTCAACCCCCTGTGAATAGTAAACAGCCATCAGTGTGCTAATGATCCATTGTTAGACTGATGGGCCTTCTTGACCATGTGAGCAGCTGGTTTTGGTTGTCAGCAGCAAACTGGTTGATCCACTCTGAGAAGGTGCTATTTAAGAGACTGAGCTGAATACAGCACCTCAGACTGAGGAAGTATTTCGGATGAGAGACGAAACGTTTCTACATTTTTTTGCTTGAATGTCCAGAGGACCAGATTGAACTTTTTTGAATTTTTCTACCTGGATTATTGAGCATGCATCAGGATATTTTGAACCACTTTGGCCAGGATTGCCTCAAACTAGTTAGAGAGTTTGAGAAAACAGCAAGGAAGAGGGCAGACTACAGGAACCACTTGCGATTCAATTTCAGATGTCGACAAAGTGGCATCACTCCCAAGAGCCTGGAACTAAAATAGTCGGTCAGCCAGTACCGGGCAAGCAAGATCCTTCAGAAGGCACAGACCCAGCTGCTGAATGAATGGGTGAGACAGATCAATTTTACTATTGAGGCCTTGAAGGCCAAAGAAGAGCACATTAAACAGAAACTAACTATGTGTCTAGATCAGACCACACTTCAGCAAGTGTTGGACTGTACAGATCAAGCACGCTTAGCACATCATGTCAAGTCCAAGACTCGACAACAAAACAAGTTTAACTTACTAATAACTCATCAACACCATCACTATTCCAATAACAACACATTCAGTGTAGGACAACACTCCAGTAGTCAATTACATGCCAGAGACCGGAGACAGAGATTCTTGCCAGGGGACTGAACTTTGCGGTTGCACCAAGTAGAATTCCTCTGGTGGAGATGATCACAGCCACAGAATCAGCCATCCGCAACAACAAAATGAAAGAAGGTGAAGCAGAACAGCTCAGAATCAAAGTTTCATCCTGCCTCAGCAATGCCAAACCACCACCTTCCAACATCAGTAGAGAGGAGAGGGATGCACTCACCACTCTTAGCAAGGACAAAAACATAATCATTCTCCCAGCAGACAAAGGAAGGTGCACAGTGATTTTGAACCAGAAAGACTATCATGAGAAAGTTATGACACTCCTTAGTGACTTAACCACTTATGAACCGCTGAAAAGAGATCCAGGAAGTGGTTACAAGAAGTTAATAGATTGCCTGAAAATTTTGGAGCAGGACAAGGCTATTGACCGTATTCTGTACCACAGACTACCCAGGGGAGGCCACACCTAGTCTGTATGGTTTACCTAAAATCCACAAACAATATGTACCTTTAAGACCAATTGTTAGCATGATTAACTCGGTCAGTTACAATGTTTCCAAATATCTGGCGTCTGTACTCATCCCTTTGGCAGTTGGCAGCTCAGAACACCACATACAGAACACCATGGACTTTGTGGATAAGTTGAGGGATGTCATCATGGAGACTGATGAAACAATGGCCTCTTTTGATGTCACATCACTCTTTACGTGCATTCCTGTTGATGATGCAGTAGAGGTGGTCAGTTTAAGATTAAAATCAGACACCACTATGAGCAGCAGGACCACGTTTTCCACAGAACAACTGTGTCAACTCTTGAAACTGTGCCTGCAGTCAACCTACTTCACATGTGGGGAGCAATATTATAGGCAGAAACGTGGGTGTGCTATGGGGTCTCCAGTTTCTCCAATTGTTGCCAACCTGTACATGGAGGAGGTAGAAAAGAGAGCCTTGACGTCCTTTTCAGGGACACCACCAGGTCATTGGTTCAGGTATGTTGACAACACCTGGGTTAAAATTAAATCTTGGGAAGTCCAACATTTTACTGACCACATCAACTCTGTGGATAAATACATCACGTTCACATGAGAAGATGTAAAAAATGGCAGGTTGGCTTTCTTGGACTGTGAGGTCTCAGTCTCTGATGGAGGACATTTGCAAACCAAGGTGTACCGCAAACCCACCCACACAGACCAGTATTTGCAGCTTGACTCCCATCACCCTTTGGAGCACAAGTTAGGAGTCATCAGGACTCTATATCACAGAGCAGACAGCGTCCCCACTAACTCAGGAGCCAGGCAGAAAGAGAAATCCTACACAAGACAGGCTCTAGAGCAATGTGGATATCCTAACTGGGCCTTCCTAAAAGCAGAGAAGAAACCCAAACAGGACTCCATTCAGCTATCAGGTGAAAAGGAGGAACCCAGACCAGTGGTCATTCTGTATGTTGAGGGAGTATCAGAGAAACTGAGACGTTTATTTTCTAAACATAACGTTCCAGTGGCTTTTAAACCCCCAAATACATTACGGCAAAGACTGGTTCATCCCATAGATCCAGTCCCCCGTCACAGAGTAATATTGTGTATGCTGTTCAGTGTCAGGAGGGTGATCAGTCTTACATCGGGGAAACTAAACAGCCACTGGCCAAAAGGATGGCCCAGCACAGAAGATCAACATCATCAGGCCAGGATTCTGAGGTGTACACTCATCTCCAGGCCAGTGGTCACTCTTTCAAGGATGAAGATGTTCACATCCTGAACAGAGAGGAACGATGGTTTGAGAGAGGAGTAAAGGAGGCCATCTTTGTGAAAAGAAATTGTCCATCTTTAAACAGGGGTGGAGGCCTCCTGGTTCAACTGTCCCCCTCTTACAATGCTGTGATTGCTAGTATCACTCAACCCCCTGTGAATAGTAAACAGCCATCAGTGTGCTAATGATCCATTGTTAGGCTGATGGGCCTTCTTGACCATGTGAGCAGCTGGTTTTGGTTGTCAGCAGTAAACTGGTTGATCCACTCTGAGAAGATGCTATTTAAGAGACTGAGCTGAATACAGCACCTCAGACTGAGGAAGTCTTTCGGATGAGAGACGAAACGTTTCTACATTTTTATGCTTTGTTTTGTTTTGTTTTTTGGGTTTTTTTGAATGTCCAGAGGACCAGATTGAACTTTTTTGGATTATTTGTTTGCTCAAAATATAGTAAAGTTGTGTCTCAGTTGAACTGTTCCTTAATAAATGCACTTTAATGATCAAATCAGCTGCATTTCTCCTGGGCGAAGAGGCAAAATGCAGCTGATTTGATGTTTGCTCCAGGAGTTCCAGGAGAGCGAGACGAAGGTGGCTTGATGTAGCATTTCAAGTGTATCGTTAATAGCCACTTTTACCTAATAATGAGACCCTTGGCTTGCCATATTAATCGAGGGCCCTCTAGTGGCTGAAAATTGTAGTGTTCAATATTTTCCATGTCTCATCAGATATCAGCCAGAAATTGGGTTATTAATATGGAAAAAAATCATAAATAAGTCGCTTTGCTGTATAAGTCGCAGGCATGCAAATTTATGCAAAAATCTGCGACTTATACAGCGAAAAATACTGTAATTAAAATGCTGTAGTGGGATCTTAAGCGATGAATTGAAGCAGTATTGTAAAGAAGAGTAGGTCAACATTTCTGCTCAACCATATTATAGTTGCACAGGTAGGTCCTACAGAAGACCTTTACTTGAAGTTATTGATGCTAAAGTTCTACAAATGACTGAATCATGGGCTGGACTTGTTTTTTTCCACACACAGCCTTTCTAT